GTTTTACACAATTAGAAAAATTCTACAAGAGAGAAAGGAAACAGAATAAATCGTAATAGAAAAGAGAGGGAAGAAAATCAAAAATTAACTGGAGGAGAAGGCCTGCCTAAACATCCATATTTTCAGTTGTTTTTTTAAAATACCCAGCAAAGGAGCCGTGTGAATCTTCGGAGGCAGATTGTCCCTTGGGTTAGTATGTATTGTGTGTGTATATTTTGTAGTCTTTAAAATAAATAAATAAAAAAGAAACTCCCAGTAGCCCAAGTTTAATTGTAATCATAAAGGTATTTATATATGTGACTCTGCACAGAGCAGTAAATGCTGAAATCACTGTTTCTCCTTCGTAGTATCTGTAAATACACACTAATGGGTTAATCCACAATTTCTGATATTGTATTCAACAAGAGCATTTCTTGTTTAAAGATTATATATACTGTACGTATATGATTTCTTATATATCTTTTTTGTCTGCCTCCAAAATTGATTTACTCTGTCATTTATCCACCACCAATACAGAAGAGAGTCCGAAGTTTCTGACAATATTGCGACCTGAATTAATCTCTAACACCCTTTTTGCCAGTTTTGAAGTGCCATTTATAGAACATCTTTAAAACATTTTCTCTCAAATTTACTGATTTAATCCATCTATAATTATCATTCCACGTTCAAATCCAATCATGTACAGTGGTGCTTTGACTTACAAACGTAATCCATATTGGAACGGTGGCCATAAGTAAAAACGTTCGTAAGTTAAAGCACCATTTCCCATAGGAATGCATTGAAAACCGATTAATCCGTTCCGGTCGAAGAAAAAAAAAATACAAAAAAAATTTAAAATAAAATACAGCAAATCCCATGCTGCGACTGCAAAAAAACCAAAACAAAAACCAAACAAATCCAAAAATAAACATTGGAGCAAGTCCCACACTGGGATTGCGCATGCACGCGCGTGCACACACACACACACACACAGAGAGACAACGAAGCACAGAAACATACCCCCCCAGCCCAAACCTACCATCCAAAACCCACCCAGAATAACTTTTTAAAGAGAAAAAAGCAGCACTTTCTTTAACGTGGTTCTCTATGAATCCACACTGATGGGTTAAACA